TTTTTTTTTTTTTTTTTTTTTCTAAGAACAAAATTAAAATTTGGATGTAATTTGTTTAATGTAGTATAATTAATATTCGTTTTTATCATGGAAAGATGGAAAGAAAAGGAATAAATTCGGGTGTGGAAATGCGTTTCATCGATCGTAATCAATGAATTGGAAGATTATCCAGTCGACAATTAACAGCAAATAATTCGGTTCGTTTTCTCTGTAATTTACCATCAATCTTCTTCTTCTTCTTTTTTCTCTAAGATTCCGAGTGTTTCTGCTTGAGGAGAGTGCTGGAGTGCTGGTTTCGTTTTTGTGGCGGGTTGGGTGGAATTGGGAGGAGACTGTTAAGGCAAAAGGATCGAGGTTATTGCGCCGGATTCTGATCACCGAGATTCCAGATGACGAAGAAACATCGGAATGGCGAAATCTGGGAATTCGAGCGAGAAATGTCCGGCGGAGCAGAAGGAGGAGGAGTTGGAGATGTGATTCTTGGAATTGATGGAGGAACAACCTCCACAATCTGCGTTTGTGTTCCGTTTTTACCACCTCAGTCTCTTCAGTTTCCTGATCCTATTTCTCTTCTTGCTCGAGTGGAAGCCGGCTGCTCCAACCATAATAGCGTTGGCGGTACTCTCTCTCTCTCGCTCTGTGCTTGTCCCTTTACGAACCTCGATTGGTTCTGCGCATGTCTCTCATTGTTCTTCCCGGACTAGAGGCGTAAGTCTCGAGGCTGAAGTTTAGAGTTTCGCCTCCAAAGTCTTTTAAAACATTGGATTGTTGAACAGTGTCCGAAGTCCATTAAATTCAATCACCATTTTTCCTACTGAAGTTAATTTATTGTTGAATTATTTCTATGAAATGCAATGGATGCTTGAGTGTTGCAGCGGAAGCATAGACCAACTGCAACTCTCCAAACCTAATCGTCTTCTTTTCAGAGGCGAACTATGAATTGTTTTGTGACAGGCTTTACTGGTTTGTTGTGCCATTTGATAATATTTTCAAAAACGAAGATATTGAAAGTTAGACAATAAGCTCTTATTTTGTATTGGTATGGAAAAAGGACTGGTTGGTTTCTAAGTATTGAATATGAGATTCTAATATTGATAGGTCCTTGGTGTAAAATTTGCTTCTTTGTTTCAGAAACTGCTGCAAGGGAAACGTTGGAGCAAGTTATGGCTGAAGCCCTTTCAAAATCATGTTCAAATCGGTCAGCAGTTCGAGCTGTTTGTTTATCTCTTTCGGGTGTAAACCATCCAACGGATCAGCAAAGGATTTTGAATTGGCTCAGGTATGGGCCATGAAGGATTCTTGGCTGTTTCTAAGAAACTACGTTCTTCTGTCTTTGGGTTTATGTGACGGATCATGTTATTTTCTCGTTGTTTTATATGAATCTTAGGATGGTTAGTGCTCTTTCTAATCAATTGGCTTATTCTAGCTGCTATTACAATATCCCTTAGTGGTGTACTTATAGCTGAATCCTTCAATTTAATGAACATCACGATCTGAGTTAGGTCTCAAATCAATTCCAAGGCTCCAAGCTGCTATTCCTTTCACTATCAATTTTGTTCTATTACATATGAAATCAGAACCTCGTATCTCTGGACAAAATATGCTTTAATACACTTCTGATATGTTTTATTTTTTATTTTTAATTTGCGCAGGGATATATTTCCTAGCCATGTCAAACTCTATGTTCGAAATGATGCTGTAGCTGCTCTTGCAAGTGGTACCATGGGAAGGCTTCGTGGTTGTGTTCTAATTGCTGGCACTGGGACTATTGCTTATGGATTTACAGACGACGGAAGAGAAGCTCGAGCAGCGGGTGCAGGACCAATCTTAGGTGATTGGGGAAGGTCTCTTTCTCTCACTCCCTCATATGGACGCACATCCTAAATTGGAGTATGACTGATTGTATGAGGATCATCTTATCTGTTTACCAAAATCTTGTGCCATTATTCCTTGCTGGTGAATGATTGAGTGATGAATTTTATTTTTAACTATCTTAGCATCATTCTCATTAATTTTATATATTTAATCATGAAGTCCATGCCTATCAATGTTTAAGCAAGTTCCTTGGAAATCTCTAATCAAACTAAATCCTCTAAAACTAGACTGATAATCTCAATTTTGGTCATTATTCTTGTTGTTTAACACTCGTCATTTGTGGGCATGAAAGTTAACATATGGAGAAGAATTGACATTAAAGGGGCTAAATACAAAACTTGCTGCTCTGATACCACAATATGCAAATACTTAAGTTGATAGATTACCGTATTGAATAAATGTTTATAGATTAGGGTATATTTAATCATTTATTCATATTTACAACAAGAAACTTTTTTTGTTATCTTTGCACTCTGCATATTTAATTGTTTGCGTTTAAAATTATATTACTGCATTGATGCCGATCTATAATAGTAAATTATGAGACTATTGTGCATGACATACACAATTTTATTTTCTTTCGCCACTTTTCATTGAAGGTGATACTTCTTGTAATTTCAGTGGGTATGGCATATCAGCGCAGGCTTTAACTGCAGTTATGAGAGCGCATGATGGTCGTGGTCCTCAAACAAAGCTCACAAATAGCATTCTTCATACTCTTGGTCTTTCTTCTGCTGATGAACTCATTGGGTATGTACTCTTTGTAATTGGCATTACCGGTCAATTTTCATTATCTCATCGTTTATATTATTGGATGCGGTTTGCGGACAATATAAATTAAACAAACTAGAAAACAAAATATCTTTCAAGTACAAGAAGGAAATAATTCTTTTAAATGATGTATTTTCATTCTTTCATATTTGTGTGTGTGTGTGTATTGAAGTCTTGCTGAGGCTTGCTTTTGTCGTTTTTATTATTATCATCAATGCAGTAATCTGTATTGTTGTGAAGGCTGCTCTGATTTACTTGCAGCAGCTGTACAACTTTTTAAATGATGATGCAAAGAGAATTAACATTTCAACATACCAGAAACTTGCTTTATCTAACAACGAGAAAAGTAGTTGTTTCCAGTGCAGTTTCTGACAATTGTACCCCAATTCATATGTTGGAATGGTATGAAAGTACAGTATCATGGATGATTAATTAGGAATGGATCACATCTGTTTTTGGTTATTGAAAATTAGGTGGACCTACGCAGATCCAACTTGGGCTCGCATTGCTGCACTTGTTCCTGTTGTCGTGTCATGTGCAGAAGCAGGAGATGAAGTTGCAAACAACATCGTGCAACATTCAGTCAAGGAGTTGGCTTTAAGCGTGACTGCTGTTGTTCAAAGACTTAGATTGTGTGGTTCAGGTACTGCAATAGTGGAAATCTTTGTTTCTAGTTAATAAACTTGATTTTCCTGGCCCTCGCTTCTCTGAATGTTGAAACTAACCTCAAAGTTGGAAGCACTTTTGCTATTAAACCTCCCTTGATTTCTTTCCTTCTTCGGGAGACTGTATTTTACACTATGTTCTAGCTTTGAGATCAAGTACGTCTCCTCAGTTTACTTCTCTTTGGATCTGCACTTGAATATGCAACAAAATTAATCGTGAATAATCTCTATCTATGTCCCTAAGAAAATTGGGAGCTGTTCCATGCCTATTTTTTATTTGAGGGGTTTGTGACAATGCTACTGATCATGCAAAAATATTAGCTGGAATTAGGATTTCTAAAGAAAGGGAACCAGGCAGGCAAATGAGCGTTCAATAATATGATAGTTTCCTTTTTGAATTTTGTAGCCAAAGTTTTGCCTAGTTTTCTTTTTGAATTTTGTGACCAATGTTTTGCCTCGGCTGTCATTGTTAGCATCATTAACATTGCAGATGGAAAGGCTTCTTTTCCCCTCGTCATGGTTGGTGGAGTTCTTGAAGGAAATAAGGGATGGGGTATAGCGCAAGAAGTTGTAAATTGCATTTCCAAGGACTACCCTGGGGTAGTTCCCATCTGGCCTAAGGTAAGCATGTGTTTTTACCTTATGATAACCATGGTGCTGTTTGGGAGCTGTTGTGAAAAATATTCAATGAAAAATATGTTCAGTTATTGTTCTTAAATCCTTACATGAACAGACTTCACTTTTAAATCAACAAAAATTATTGTTCTTTCTTTCAAAATAACGAGTATATGAACAGTGATTTCAGATGTACGAAACAGCCCTACATGTGTCTATGCTTTCATTAAAATGCATATTTTTCTTGAACCAAAACCAGGTGGAGCCTGCCATTGGGGCCGCATTGTTAGCCTGGAATTTCTTGAAAGATTCCCACAAAGAATAAGGCTTTAAAAAAGTGACTGATAGTTCTCATAAGTTGTACAGAAGCAAAGTTGAAATCGACGAGTCCGGAATTATGAAGGGGAAGAAGAAAAATAAGTCCTGTGAGTGAGCTATTTCAGTTCTCAACATTAATATACGCAATTAACTAACCTTCTGTCATTTATCAATAATATTTATGGGGTGATTGAAAGAGGATGTGCTCGAAGTGATGTCAACATTAATGCATGGTGGTTTTAGTGCATTTGCTCCAATGTCTTACTGTCAGCCTGAGATCAATTCCTTGGCTTTTGAGCCCCTGAGCTTATTTATTTTTGTGCTTTGTTCCATTAATCTGTCACTTCCAATCTTTTGCATTTGCTAGAATGTCCTTTTATTCTTTAACCTTTCTTTTAATCCTTATTTTGTTTCGTTTTCTTTTTGCGATTTCTATGTGGGATTTTAATCTCTTAAATTTTTTTTTTTATCAAGATTATAATGTTTTAACGAGTCGAGTCAGGTTATGTATATGTTAGCCTTTTTCCTCTTAATCTTGATGTTGAATCGGGAAAAAAGCCATCCGAAATGGTTAAAATATAAATCTTCCTTTTGGGCAAAGGAAGCTTCAAACAGTATTCCATATGCTGAAGTTAAAAGGATATGAATGTGAAGCAGTTCTAATATTTAAGCCAATGGCTGCAAAAATCAGTCAAAGATGGCTTCTGGTTCAGCTGAATGGCAAATACAAACTTCTTAGCCTACAACTACTTAGCTGAAAGGGATAATATTTTCCCATTCTTATGATACACAACCAACTCCTTACAACAACTAGAAGATGGTTTAGGCATTTTGTTTGCTGAGTTCAAAATGATCTATTCATACTTCTTTCCCTTGAACGATCCTTTAGGGATCTTGCTAAGCACACTGGAATCGAGCTTTTGATACTGACCGCGGAGTTGGTCGATAACCTTGTATGCAAAGGTATCAACTTCATCTTCATATTTCTCGTACAGAATTGGAAGCGTATGGGCAGCAACGAAACCTGAACATATTTGAAACGTGCTAATAGTGAAAATGGATGATACATAGGATCTCTTATCCCCTATGGTTGGTCATCAAAAAGTTTTTATCCTCTACCAGCTCAAGCCCAAGCCCACCGCTAACAAATATTGTCCTCTTTGAGCTTTTCCTTTCGGGGTAGGGAACAAAGCATTCTTTATAAGAGTATGGTGTGGAAACCTCCCCTTAGCAAACACGTTTTAAAAACTATGAGAGGAAGCCCGAAAAGAAAAGCTCAAAGAAAACAATATCTGTTAGCAGTGGGCTTGGGCGGTTACACATCCTACCTTGATTTATAAAAAATAACCAAGTCGCTCCATCAAAAAAGCAAGAAAACTCAAAACACTTTTTATTGGTTAAAGCTTTTCTAATTCATGAGCTTTGAACAATTTACGCTCGTCTCAACTAATTTAACAACGTAACAAGAGTTTCATCCTACAACGTTAAGTGTTCGAATCAAGAGGCCTAGGATTTCATATGGTTCATCTAAAAGTGTAAATAATATAGACATGGCTCATCAAAGAAATTTAACGTGTAAATGTCTAGAAATGCAGAATCTGTAAGCACTTACCAATATACAAGACAGTAATGAAATTGCACCAGCTACTGATCACAGCACCAGCCCACAAGCTTACTACGGCCTGCAAATATCTTCACATTAATAAAAGAAGCCATCTTCCACAAAATCTAAACAGGTTTCCTAAGCACTTATAATCAAAGAAACAACTACAATATATCATCATACCACAAGGAAGTGTTTGAAATTTCCTTCACAAGCAATATCTTGGAGAACACCCAGACCTCGGTTAACCTCAGCACCAAATGAGACAGCAATATTGACAAACAGTTCCTCAGGAAGAACAACTCGAGGAACTTTCGACGATGATGATCTGCGAAAGCACCAAATATGTTAAACCAGAAAACCCATCAAAATCAACGTAAAACAAAGGCATAGATATCTATTTTTCAATCACCTGCTCATATATCCTGAGGCACTTGTCCATATGAACTGACCCAACATACCAAGAACCAAAGCAAAGCAAAGAAGAGTCAAGAAGTGGTAATTAAGCCATTCAAACAACACCCATATAATAGTTGCACCAGTCAAAACACTAGCTGAGATTTTCTTGTTCCTCCATAGCAGCACATCAGCAGCTACAAATCAAAACGAAATAATATGATTTATGACATTAAAAAGAAGATTATAGAGGATGAAAAAGATACTAAGAATAGTTAAACAAGGAAATACGTTTTCCACCCCCAAGAATATGGTAAACAGGCTTTTGGCGTCCGAATATCCGCTTCATCTGACCAGTCACTGAACTCGATTTACTATCTTCCCCGAAAAACGATACTGATTTCGCCTTTTGGCCATGTTCAGCAAGAACTTCAGAGATATTACTAAGAATATCCTCAGCAGTTATCCTCTCAGACATAGTTCTTGTGCTTCAGAAAAGAAATAACAAGAAAAAGGAAGCCACAGTTCAGGACTAGGCTGTTCACCAAGAAGATAGTTATATAATAACATAAAAACTACAGTAATCATATGGGTAAAGAAGCTAATCTATGTATAAGCTCCAGGATCAACTTTTAGGAGAATGTTTAGGCTAAAGATCCAACTTCTTGTATTGATTTTCCTTAGTTACATTCCATGTCATGTCCAAATCATAGCGTTTTCGTTTTCGATTTGCTTTCTCAGACTTTGAATCTTGTTTATAGAAGGAACCCAAGTGAAAGACAACATAAAAGAACAACCATCTTCTACAATTAAGATCTCTAAATAGCAACTTTGATAGGAGATCTTTCGATAACAATCATACAACTTTAAAAAACCTTGAGGGGAAACTCGAAAGGGAAAGCCTAAAGAGGACAATATCTACTAGCAGTGGGCGTGGGCCGTTATAGTTACGAACTCTAGGGGATGAAGAAAGCCCCCAATGGGAGAAAACTATTGCAGTTAATTTCTCTAGTCCAAGCTAATCATCAAACTAAAGCTTAGTAAAAGTTTTTGAATACTGATGAATCAACAACAGACATTCAAAAGCACTAACAATCTTTTATAAAACGAAACAGCTGATCAAAACTGACCAAGAAGCATAAGGAAACCAAAAGGCCAAATGGTCATAAAATAGGAAGGAACACAAACTTTTACCAAAACTTTCAACTCAAAAGCAAAAGTGATCCAACGTTTCAACCCAGATACAAGCAAAAACAAGAGAAAAACCTCAGAAAGCATTATAAACTCCAGATTCAACCAGAAATTCAGCCGCAGTTATACAAGATAGAGATTGTAAAGAGAAAAATGAAGCAGATGCAAGGGATAAGTAGGTCGTCTAGTAAGATTAGAGCAGAAGTAAGGGAGCAAAACTCCAAAAACCCAGAAAATCAAGCAGAACTAGCAGCATTCAACCTCATTCAAGCATCAAACAAGCATAATAAAACACATAATCCGCTGAAAGAGAAACGCAAAACAAGCAGAAGATCGAAAAAAACAAACCCAAAATAGAACTCCAGAGAACAAACCAGGCGCAAGGGATTAATGGGTCTTCGAGGAATAGATTGGAGAAGAAGAAACCGAACAGACAAACGAAAATGGGTTCTCAAAATTTCCGTTCAGAACTGCAGAAAAACGGGATAAAGAAAGGAAGAGTTCATGGGATTCTAAAATATCACAGAGAAATGGCGTGATGAAGCTGACATACTGAAATTATAAAGGGTCCACCACCTAACCCAGATGCAAAATTCCCCCCCTTTTTTTTTTATTGTTTGTTTCTGTTCATCAAGTGGGTCGAATTGAATTTTTTCCCTTTTTCACTTTCTTTTCAACTTTCTCAGTTGTTGCATTTTAACGGACGCCAAACGCGAATCCCTTTTGGGTAGCTGTGGTTTTTATTGTAAAGTAATGAGCTCACCCGCTAACTTCAAGGCCCGTGTTCTTCAGAATTTTGAACCATCCGTCTCTTTTCCATATGATTCAGTAGCCAATGGCGTCGTTATAGTGTCACAACTTTTAAAATTTGATACAAAAAGTCTAAATTAGGGTTCTTTATTTAAGAAGTTTCTAAAACATCTTATCGTTTTCAATCCTATACTTTTTCCTTTTACTTTCCTTTTTAATTAACGCTATTTTATATTTTATTTAATTTTATAGAAATAAGTGTTACTTTCTTTAACTAAGATATAAAAGTGTATACAAATAGGTCCGGTTTTCAAATCTTCTGCTCCCATTTACTTTTTAGCTAAAAGTTAATCTGAGATGAAAATTACCGTGAAACTATAAAACAAGCCCGACTTTTTAAAATTAAAAAGAAAATTATTCTAGAACAGGTCTCGAGTTATTTTTGGTAGATAATTTAGAGTTTGTTTTATACTTTCATTCCTTGCTATATAAACTTTCGATTCCTTACTATATATATATATCACGAAGAGTTGATTTTCACGTGTTTCGAATAGTCAACATTTTTATATTTTCATTATATCTAAATTTAAGTTTTTAAATTTTAATATGTAAAGCAAATATAGTATTTTATATTATAAATTCATTTTATTTTTGTTAGATGAAAAAATATATTAAAATTATAGGATTTTATAAAATAATAAATTTTATAACAAAAAAATGTTAATAAATTAATTAATAATGGTTTATTACAATTACTATTAATTTTATGGTTATTTATTTATTTTTAACCAAATTAAACACCATATTCGAAATTATTGTGGTTAAAATTATTTATGATTATTATAAATAATTGAATCATTTATTATGAGAAGGGGAGAAGATGTGAAAATTGATAATTACTAATTATTTCTATTTTATCGTTCTCCATTTAAAAATTAAAATATAATTATTTCCTATTGAATAAAACACCTACTTTGAATTATATAAATAATAATAATCACAAAATAATTAAATAATAATAATGATAATTACAAAAAAAAAATCCTTGTCCAACTATGTAGATAAGATTTTTTATATTATTTGTAACACGTGTTTCCATTTCATTGGGCAGCTATTTTTTTTTTGTCCTTTTTGAAATGTTTTTTTTTCAAATAGTAGTATATTATTAGATATCATTTGCTTAAACTCGTGGTTGTGGGCTTTTTTGTCTTTTCCATGATGAATAATATTACGATGACAATTTTTCTTATATTTAAACATGATGTTGTAAATATAAATTTAATTTTTATTTAATTTGAACATATAACTGCGTAGAATGTCTTTAACGAGTTAAAAATATGCAAAGACGATTAACATATTTGTACCATACTCAATAAATAACTTATCAATTCG